CAGATCATTAGCAGATTTTGAAAAGGTGAGATTTTGACTGATTTCTGTATATGATTTTTCAACGGACGTCTTTGTCATGCTCAGCTTTCTGTTGCTCTTTCACACATGAAGGCCCTGACAGAGTACACTAAAGAGCTGAGGGACGACCCCATCATCAGCACGCATTTGACCAAGCTTTACGACAATTTGCTGGAACAGAACCTCATTCGGGTCATTGAGCCTTTTTCCAGAGTACAGGTAGTGTGTGTGTGTGTGTATGTGTGATATTTTTAGCCTTAAGTGCACCATTTAGTTATTTATTGTCAATATAATACTTTAAGAAGTTCTATATTTTATTTAAAAAAGACCCATATATATCTCTGACAACGCTAACAGATTTTACTATGATTTTGATGTCCTTTTCTCTCTTTTTAAGATTACACATATAGCTGGTCTCATCAAACTCTCAAAGGTATGAACTGTACTTTTCTTTCAGGAGATTTTCACTCTCATACAGAGTATTGTGTATAGCTTTAAAGTAATATTAGCTTAGGAAATCACAATGCCTTTAATGTCATCATAAACCAAAAATTTGACAAACCATAACATGAAACAATCGCATTTATACAAGATCGCTAAAATAATGTTCTCTGTTATTTGTTGTGGCCCACAGGATGATGTTGAGAGGAAACTGTCACAAATGATCCTGGACAAAAAGTTCCATGGTTAGTCTATCTTTTTTGTCATTACCTTTCTTTCTCATTATCTTTCGCAACCAGTCCAAGTAAAAATAAAAAATGTCAGTCATGTTGTAGTGGTTTTTGCATTCATCTTGTACCAATAGTGCTTATGGGTAACTGAAGTCCAGCCTGAGATGTGTACCAATCCCATTCCCCCTCTCTTCCCATTCATTTTGTGTCTCTCTGCACTATATAGCTAAATTATCTAATGGGAGTCACAATATCGCCAACGAATGTTACATTCTAGACATTTTGGCCCACAAAGGCTAGTTAAGCCTAGTTCACACTACGTGATTTTAAGCCCGATTTAAGCCCGATTTGCAAATCGTTGAGTCGCCGACAAGTCAGGGTGTTATCGCGTGCAAATCGCGGGCGATTAGCGGACGATTAACGCTCGCCAATCAGTTAGTGTGAAAGAGCCAACAACGCATCAAAGACAGCTCGCAGACACCTCGCAGACAGGTCACCGAGCTCAGAAAAATATCTAGCATGCTAGATATCTCGCGCAGTCGCGCGACTCAATCTCAGTGATGTCATGAGTACAGCCAATCATAGCAACGCATGGGTTGAGGACACCAGGTAAATCTTACTTTTTCTTTTTGCATTTTTTTTTCTCAGAGCATATCGTCGAGCAAACAGTGTGCAGCACTAGTTTCTGTCTGACGTCCATATTCGCGTGTTGTGTTCTTCTCTGCAGTTTCGCGTCATTTCTGGTTCGTTTTATTGCGTGGTTTTTCGTTACAAAACATGGTTTCTAGACCAGATAGAATCGTGTTGTTGTCAACTCGTTATTTGGTTGATTATTTTCAGGATTTAGACCGTACTGAAACAGCTCTCATTGAGTCACAAATGATATGCTCTTATCATCCGATCGTGGTTGTATCTCTATGTAGTGCGTTGTTAACTCGTGTAGTGAGTTACCTCCTGTTGTGGATCAATCACGTTGTGTTGTGTGGTGTGAACAGCTAAACAACTTGAACACTCATGATTTCACTGAGAGCAAGTCATGTAGTGTGAACTGCACAGTTCAGCCCGACATTTTAAAATCATGTAGTGTGAACTAGGCATTAATGTTATCACTTTGGACTAAAACATACTGACTTGACTCACACAAGATATAACTTCCCAAAAATGTTTTGATCATTTTTTTTGTTGCGTTTTGTAATATTTTGTGGTGTGATGTCAAAAATGACTGTTATTACCAAATGCACATTTTTGCAGTCGAGTAGATTGTATATTTTTTACGTTTTGAATGTGAAAAAAGTTGTTTTAAGCTTATTCACCCACTCCAAAATCCAAAAGTTAGATAGGACCTGATCAATAATCTTCAATCAGTCAGTTCCAAAAATAAATACAAAACCTTTGCTTATTGAATGAATCAATAGCATTATGAGTGATTTACAAGCAAAGAACACCAAATTGCGTAAAGGTTTTTCTCAACACAGCACAATTTATTAATTTATGTATTTCTACTATTGCAGGAATCCTTGACCAAGGTGAAGGAGTGCTCATCATATTTGAGGAGCCGCCCGTGGACAAGACTTATGAGGCAGCTCTAGAAACCATACAGAACATGAGCAAAGTTGTGGATTCACTGTACAACAAGGCTAAGAAGTTAACATAGGTGAGGTGTTAAATGTCTATAACTAGTTTATTCAATCTGATTTCATGAACTGGTTTCTAATGAGTATTTGTTTTCTTCTGCAGAAGAAACGTCAGAAGCTGCTACTGTGTGAAATGGTTGTATGCGTGTGAGTTTGCCCGTGTGTATGCGTGTATGGCCAACATGTGGAACTTTTTTTTCACAGCAAAAAGGGACAACAATTGAGCAAGATCTACTTGTTCCCCAGTTGAGAGTTTTTAATGTTTCTTTTCTTTCAAATGGACAATTTCATCTTTCTGACCTTTTTGTTTTTCTTCTCTGTATCTCTCAACGGCCAACACAGGCCATCAGGGAATGTTGTACAACTACAATAAAATCCTAAAATGTCATGTAGAAATGTATAGCTCTTCTACATTTAAAGTTTTTTAATTACAGCAACTTTGATACAGAGGCTCCTGGTTTCGGTTGTCGGCGGTTCATTGGTGGTTTGCTGTAGTGCATATCTTTTTTTCCCTCATTTTATGGACGCACATTATCTGATTGTTTTAGGTGAGAGATTCAAAGGAACTTGCCTATTATAAAGAGGCTCTGTAATAAGCACAGTTGCCAATCATATTACCACACACACACACACACTAGAAAATTTAGTATGATCAAGGGTATTGTTTGTTGTTTACTTTTACAGTATACTTACCGTCTTTACGGTTTTGTATTTACAGTGTACTGTTTGCCAAGATAGGTTGATTATATTAAATGGCCCAGTCATACAAATGGTTTAGTCGTCTTTGATTATAAGATAATCTTCCCACTGTTCTGAACTTTACTCTTTTATCGTTCATTAATTTTTTTTTCCCCCCAATCAGTATCTCGATGCAAACTCCATTTCTAGTTTGCCAGCAATAGACCATTATATAAGTTAAATACTCATATTATTTTAAAATTCAATGTTTTGTACTTTTTTTGTAAATGTATACTTTCACACATCCTTTGCAAAAAAATATTTATGTTTTCATTTATTCTGGTTAGTGTGGAATTATAAAAGTTCTTATGGGAGAATGGTGTTTTTAAAAGACTTTTTAAAGTCCAGTGTTGATTTGAGAGCTTCCTGCATGTGATTGTGATTGATTTGTAGTGGTGATCTAGCATTGATCAGTTGAACATTTAGTGAGAGAATAAATACTTTGGAAAGGTTTTTTTTTTTTTTTTTGAGTCACAAATGTCCATTATCAAAGCTCAACATTTCAACCATCGAAATCTTGGTATGGGCATATTACAGTGAGGAAAGTGAAAGTGACTGTTTTATTTTTGTATGAGTTGGCCTGTTCACTAATTAAAATGTTTTGATTATATTACTTGTTTTGAGGGAAATTATCCTTATCTCTTATTATGTGTACATGGGTATAAATACAGGGCAATTTCCCTTTATGTCAAAGTATATGTACGTTTGTTATGCAATGTGTCTTCTTTTAATGAAGTATTTGGGGATTTCAATATCAAATACTGTACATTAAGATGGAATACTAAATCACAAGGAATTTTGTTTGTGTGAACTTTATAAGATTACCCAAAATATTATTGCTAATAAAGAAATATATTAATTTACACCCCTTTCAAATAGGAAAACAATAACCACATAATTTATTAGATCCTCAAATGAGTTTAAAAAAACCACTGGGTCAAACTAGATCAGATTGCTATATTTGATAACAATATAAAAGCTTAAAGCAGAATTTTTAAGTTCCATTTTTAAAGAGTTAATGTATTGTTTTGTATATCTTGCTGTAATATGTATGGCAGACAGAACTGATGGGAACGAACAAATAATTACATTAAAGAAATTATCTCAATTATAATAAAACAACAACTGAACAACCAGTTGGGTAAATAAGTGTGGAGTGTACATTTCTCTTAGTCCATATTACAGTTTATTTGATCAGGTTGGGATTAGTACCTTTGGCAGCCTTTTGAAATAGTAATATTAATTTAGATTTTAACAACCGATAAAAACAATATCAGAAAATCTAGTATGGTGAGACCGCCCACTCACATTTAACTTTCGGGTTCTGAACTGCTTGCAGTTCCACTCTTGGTCCATATGAGGGCGCTCACAGGACGAGTGCAGAATGAATGGAGGTCTATGGAGCTATACCCCTAAAAATCCACTTTTCTCAGGATATAATTTTTTGTCTAGTAATTTGAATGTGGTATTCGAAAGGAGATGGAAAGAAATAACACATTACTGGGTGTTAGATTTTTTAGAGTCACATATTTGCTTTAAAAAAGTATTTAATAGGGTCAATGACGTCATACACATCGTACCACCAGACACCTGCTTTACGGCAATCCTTCAGTCACTTTGGTGCATCCAGAAGAATGTCTAATATTGATAATATTAAGACCTAAGTTACCACAACTTAACCCTGTGTGGATGGTAACCTTTATTTTGCAAAGAAAAAAAAAGAAGCCCTCATATTTAATCTATGACTTTAACCTGCATAAGTTTTTTAATAATACATTGGTTCTTTTTTTTTTTTGAAGCTTCGAACAAAGATTTATTTATTCGAATCATATAAATAATTTAAATTCCGTCCCACGATACAACAGAATGCCATCCAATCTTTTTACCAGTAAATATACTTTTATTTTGACTCTAGAAATGTCCGGTGTTTGACGACGTCCTTCCGGGCGCTTTCGCTCTGAACTTGTATGGGTTAGTTCAGTAGAGTAGATAAACATTGAGTGAAACGAAACCATACACGTGTTATGTTGATGCACGCAGACAGGTATATTAAACATGACTGTACAACGACGAGTAATCAGTAAAAACCCAGAAAGTAGCGCCATTGAAAAGAAAATTAAGAGGTAACGTTAAAGATTTTCAATTTCCGAAACTTTATGAGCTCACATTGACTTTGCCTTGCTGCAAATAATGAGTGATGTTGCTTCAAATCCTTGTTTACTTGCAGAATACTCCCTACATAGTGGAAAATACATGTATTTCTCATGTTCCTTTCGTTGTTCAATCTGACAGTCAAATGAATGGATGAAAGAAATGCACACCTGGCAGTCTACTATCATCGCCCTGTGTGTTCTTAGGCTGTATTTATATTGTGTTCATTCAGGGGAAATGCGCAGAGACAGGCCTCTTCATGGAGAGGTAACGTTAACTGGCCCACGCTGTTGCTGTTGATAGGAGTCACTGGACTAGTGAGCCTGGTGTATTTCACATGGACTGGTGACTTCACTCACACTTTGGTGTCAAGAAGTGAAATCCTCACTCAGCCCAGAGTGTTCACAGTGGACTGCTCTGAAGACTACAAGGAGCACAAGATATTCCCAGGTATGTTAGTGGTTCTTCCATTGACTGAGCTTCATCCCCTCAAAGGACAGACTACATTGCAAACTTTATTGGAAATTTTTATTGGTTTTGCTGTGCATTTCTGGGTTTTATAAATTTAACATCAAATGACAGTTATAATACTTAAACTGTAATTTAACTTTATTCCCTCCAGTTACTACCAACACAGGTCGAATGTGTCCATACAACTGGAAAAGGTCTTTTGTAAATGTATCCAATCTATATTTAATTTTGCAATCTTGCAAGTACTTTTTATAGTTTTTTAACTGTGACATTTAAAATGCATTTGCAGGTATTGATTTTTTTTTTTGTAGAGAAAATATAATAAATGTGTATTAACACTTACTGCCCTCTGAAAATAAGTCAACACACAGCCGTTATTGTCAAAATAGCTGGTAACAAAACTGAGTACACCCTAAGTGAACATGTCAAAACTGTTTCCAAAGTGTCAATATTTTGTGTGAGTACCATTGTTATCTAGCACTGCCTAAACCTGGGCGTGGAGTTCACCAGAGCGGCACAGATTGTTCCTAGGATCCTCTTCCAATCCTCCATAATGACATCACAGAGCTGCTGAATGTCAGACACATGGTGCTTCTCAAACCTTCCACTTGAGGATGCCCAACAGTTGCTCAAAAGGGTTTAGGTCTGGAGACATACTTTGCCACTCCATCACCTTCAGCTTCCTCAGCAAGGCAGTTTTCATCTTGGCAGTGTGTTTGGGGTTGTTATCAGGCCGTTCGGTCCAGTTTCTAAAGGGAGGGCATCATGTTCTGCTTCAGAATGTCACATTACATGTTGGAATCCATGTTTCCCTCAATGATGCATAGCTCCCCAGTGCCAGCAGCACTTATGCAGCCCCAGACAATGATGCTACCAACACCATGCTCTACAGTAGACAAGACACAATTTTCTTGGGACTCCTTACCAGAGCGTCGCTACACATGCTGGACACCATCTGAGCCAAACAAGTTTATCTTGCTCTCATCAGGCCACAGGACAATGGTTCCAGTAATTTATGATCTTGGACAGTTTCATAAAGTTCTGAAGGCAAAAGGCTGTCCAACCCGATGCAAGTAAGGTATATCTATATAGTGTCCAATTTATGGCTCGTTTTCACTGAGCGGTACGGTACAGTACAGTACTGTACAGAACGGTTTGGGGTCGGTAAACCTACCTGCCTGGGTCGGTAAACCTAAAAACAACCCTGCCTCTTTTCATTTAAATTTTAAAATATTAAACATATTCCAGGCAATATGTAATGTATTGCGTATTGCATTGGTACAAATGTTGCAAAAAGCGCTACAGCATTATGATCTTGTAATAAAATTAAAAATAATGACAAAAATCTAAACTCTATCTCTTTTTTGTTAAATTTCAGTTTTATCAATAATAGACATTATAAAAGTATAAGTAAAAAGTAAAAAAAAGCTATACAGTAAAGCGTTAATAACATAACACAAACAATTCAGTAAAATATACAAATTCAGCGCTCAACTCTATGAAACTTTACTTGGCCTTCTGCCAAAAGTATTGGCAAAGGAACGAATTATAGTTTCACGAGAACAAAGATCGCCTGTAACGTCTATACAAGATGAATTATATCTCATGTTTGACCACAGAAACGTCAGAGTCTGCAGCAAACATCAGAACGATTAGCCGAGGAAAAGCTGTTGCAGGCGGGGTACGCGAGCACCGAACACACCGGTGATTGCTTGGAATGGATCTCAGTCAAATTATCATACATCTATAAATAAACCACAGATTTGAGCTTTAAAAAACTACATTCTCACCTGAAAAACTCTTAAAACCACATGTAGTGACACAATAACATGCCTTTGTAGCACGCGCAAGTGACGATACTCTTTCAACCAATCACCGTTCTGCAGTGAGTCTATTTATTTATCCTTTATTTAACCAGGTAAAAACCCATTGAGATTAAAAATCTCTTTTGCAAGGGAGACCTGGCCAAGATAGGCAGCAAAATTACATCACATCATTACATACGTACAAAGACACACAAATAAAAGCCGATTATGCACTTACAAATGAAATCTCAACGAAAACATTGACATGTGAGGGAGTCCAACTCAACTTCTCATTCTCAACTTAAAAACACTTAAAGGAATCAATTTACTAAGTTTTAAGTCTAGCTCCACCTTTTAGTACCGTACCACTATGCTAGTTACCCCAACGGAAGGGTACCCAAAAAGTGGTTCGGTTCGGCTTTTTGGTAGCATTCACAACTTTTGACAGTGGAAACGCAAACAATTGTGTACCGAACTGTACCATACCGTACCGCTCAGTGGAAACGAGCCATTAGTGTAAAAAAAAGTATTCATTTAACTTAAACTCACTTTTTTTTGTGTGCAGTTGTTTCCAAAAGTTTATGAAAATATTTTGAAATACTTTGAAAATACTAATGGGCATTGCTGTATTGGAGGAAACCTGCTACTAAACCACTTTTAGGAGTAGAAGTCTTTGCTTGAACAAAGCCAGCACCTGTGCATTCCATCGGTGTAAATCAGGAAGGTTGTTGTGGAGCCAGATCTATGATTGACAGGCTGAAGCCTCCCACATAGGACTCATTACCGAACCTCTCACCAGCTTTAAAAAGCTGTATGCTCCACGAACAAAACAAGTGCTGGGATTAACAAGCGTCCCCTTGGCTCTAGTTCACACCGCTATCTTTAAGACAGGTGCAAATAAACTCTGGGAAAGAGGCAATGTGTTCAGGAAAATATATTGTCCTGAAGCCAACCGTAGCCATTTTGCTGAAAGGTCTTACAAATCCCTCTAGGAATTCATACTGGATTCTACCTAGTGGCATATGAATCTATGCCAAAATACTGCATACTGTGGAATTTGATTGGACTTAGAGCCTTGTTGTGAATTGAACACCCCAGTGTGAATGTTGCCTGACCAAAAGCGTTTCCTCTCTGAAAGGATGCTGGAATAAACTTCAGAGTCATTATGCAGTACATTTTGCAAGGCAAGCTGCCTCGCTGAATGCGTCATTGAATATGCAGTTTGAAGAGCAAATTTGGCAGAGGCGTAGAGCCAGTTCCTTTTAATTGGTGTTACAGTTAATTAATGTATATGAACGGCTAATGCATTCTGTCCCCAGGTTGCACCCCAACAAAATGCGGCAGAGCTATTTCAGACAGTGTGGTGACTTTGGAGGAGGCACAGAAGCTTAGAAGGTACACATTAATACAGACATACATCAAATACACTATCATTCAATAGCTTGGGGTCGGGAAGAATCTTTATTTTTTATTTTTTTGCAAGGAAGCATTTATGTGGAATTTTAATTTACTTACTATAATATAAAAAAAATCATTTCAGCTTTTGAAATAGTTAAAGGGGTGGTTGATTCCGATTTTCACTTTTTTCATTTTAAATAGTGTGTAATGTTGCTGTTGGTGCATGAATAGTATCTGCAAAGTTGCAGCGCTGAAATTTCAATATAAGCAGAGAAATCGTCTTTTAAAAATCAGGAAGTTTATTGCCTACAAAAACGACTCGAATGCGACTACGTGTTTTATATGTAACTAACCCATACATTTACATCAACCCTCCATCCGGAACATGCAAAAAAGGGCATGGCCATATTTCTGCGACTCATCGAAAGTGAGTTATGTTCACCCAGCTGTCAGTTCTGCTGTGTTCAGGCTTCCTATGGATGTTGTAGTTCGTTAACAGTGGATACAATTTATGTTTGATTATGTTCCTGAAAATTACAATCGTAATTTAGATCTGTGCTGCGCATTTTACGGAAGACAGCTTCCAGAATCTCCTCAAATTCAATGCCGGATTCAACGTAAAACTGTTATTAAAGGGATAGTTCACTTTGAAATTAATTGCTGATATGTTTTAGCTTACCTCAAGGGCATCCAAGATGTAGGTGTCTTTGTTTTCACAGTATTTTTAATTTTGATATTTTTAGGTCAAACCTTTGTTGTCTATCAGTCATATAATTGAAGTCTATGGGGATCTCCTAAAAGAGCATGCACAGAGAAGTCCAAATTAAACATGATTTAATGAGTCGTAAATGTAAGTACACATTGATGGCCTAAGACACGGAACGAGCGGTTTGTGTGAGAAAACGAACAGTATTTATATAGTTTTTACCTTGTTACCACAGCCACGTCCGAGTGATCCGAAGGCACGGGCGCTTCGGTTTGCACATGCGCCGGAAGTGATCTCTTGCGTGTGTACGTCACTCATTGTTTACACAGAGATTTTGGAAGTTTTACATTTCATTGTGAAGATCTAAACATATTTAGATATACAGGATATCGCAATGGAAGACTATTTCGATATATCTAAATATGTTTACCATTCTTTACTAAGAGTGAAATGCTTTATGCTAGTCAACACTACATGTTGGCTAAATGCTAATAAAAATTAGCTTCTTATTGTAACGTTGCAGTGGGAGTTTACATGAGTTTCAAGCATGATTCAGCGTGATGCTTTCTCCGTTATTGACAGTCTCAGTGTGGCCGGTAGTGAGTGCTCGCTCTTGAGTTTGAGAAACCAAAATGTGAAAACCATTTTGCTGCTGATTATTTTTTGTGGAAACCGTGATACTGAAAGTGTATGGAAAGTTTAACCAACAAAAAAAACACACAAAAAAAACAAACACAAAGGAACTATATAGTTGGAATCACTTTCAGAATGATTTTTTTTTTTCAGCAAATGAACGATAAAAACACTGACAGCCAGTCAGAATCCATCATGCTTTGAAGACATCTGGAATTCAAAGCAGCAAACAACACTGCAGCATGCTTATAATAAATGAATGATATCATCCAGTAGTGTGGATGCTAATATGTTTATCATTATATTTGTAGTTATTGTTATTGGTGTGAACGGGTCTTTGAATATGTCTTTGCTGTCTTTTTTAAACAACTGAATGTGTCATCCTTAAAAAAAGAAAAGAAAAAAAATCTAAATTCCAAACTTTTGAATAGAAGTATACATGCATAAATAAATACGTTTCCCCTCTAATTCCACAGGTTAGCTGAGCGGGGATTATCACTTGCTGGCTCAGATGGTGGTGTGAGTAGAAACTCTTCATGCTTTCATCCGTGTTTAAAAATGTTTGCATGTTGGTCTATCAAGAAAGCAGCTGTTTGAGAACACAAGAGGGCAGTACATACTATGGTTGTGACTTCAGCTGGGATTCAAAACCAAACTTATTTTCCATTATGATGGCACCAAATTGTTTGGTATGATTGAGTTTATACAGGAAAGCACTTTCATCAAGAGCGCATTTGAAAATTCGCATTCAATGGGTGACAGATTTGGGAAGCAACTGTTGTATGTGTGATTTTGCCAGTGGTGAAATTAAATTTTGCATTCGTAGCAGATTAAGCTCAACTCGCTAGTTCATCACTCTGTGGTTTAATGGTAAAATACTAAAAAATATAATAGTAGAAATTAAAGTACCGGGTCGAGAAAATTGTTGTCGTGACCTGAACCATGTTGTAAAATAATGCACCAGAAGGGTGTATAAGATCCTTTATGTGAAATAGTTAAGCGGCTAGAGTTTGATTTGTTTACCTTAAGTGATGTGTTGATGGTGTTTGTGCTATAGTGGCACAGAGTGGCGATGTACTTGTTAAATACACTAAAAACAGTGACATTGTGAAATATTATTACAAAACTCTTTTTTTCGATTTTTAAAATGTATTTGATGGCAAAGCTGATTTTTAGCAGCCATTAATTCAGTCTTCATTGTCACATGATCCTTCAGAAATCATTCTAATATGCTGATTGACTCATAATGTGACTAATATTTTTGTGGAAACCATAGTACTTTTTACCCCCAATGTTTTTATGAATGGAAAGCATTTATTTGCATTTGAAATATGAATCTTTTGTATAGCTTTTAATGTCCTTACTGCCACTTTCTGTCAATTTAATAAAAGTATGCATTTCTTTTTAAATAAAATCATACTGATCCCATACTTTTGAGTGTAGATGTTCAAGCCTTTCACCCATTGTTATGCTGATAATATAATTTGTAATACATTTCATGTGTAGAAAAATGCTAAATTGAAGCATGTTCACTTGTGTTTACATTTGAACCCCTCTTATGGAGGGACTGTTGATTACTTGTATGAGGTGTTCACTGTGGATTACACAGAGGATATCTGATGCCTGTATAATGTTATATAAAATGAACTTTTCAGGTAGAAACCTAGTCTGGGATCTCACCAGGCAAAGAGGCTTTTAGTGAAACCAGTGAACTAAAAGAGGGTTTAACAGAGGGTCCTGCTGTGTTTTTAAGAGCAGAACAGCCCCATCATGATGATTTATGATGTGTGCGGAGACAGAGAGCAGGGAATACCAGGGCTGAGAGGAGTCCATCTGTTGACCTTATGATTAAGCATGAATAACCGCAACCTCAGCGGTACAGTCCAGCACTCGGGTAGTTGCAAGTCTTTGGAGTTGAGTCAGACCCAGAGACACTAGGGAAAGCTGGGCTTTTTTAGTCAAATATTGACTGTTTCCACTTTGAAAGTGTTTCCACTGTCTTTATTCTGTTCATTTTTGTTGTGTACAGGCCTCCATCCTGGATCTTCACTCTGGGGCATTGTCGATGGGAAAGCAGTTTGTTAATATCTATAAGTGAGTATTCCGTGTGGATTTATACGGCATCTAACAGGAAGTGATCTACAATTGAACTCCACCGACAGCTTGATCTGTCCAAATCACAGCTCTATCAGATCTCTCTGTGTTTCATGTACACTTCAAAGTATACCCTTGGCCCAGGCCAGAGGAGCTGAACAGAAATCAGTGGCGGCAATGATGGGAAAGACTTTCTAGCTTCGATTGTGAAAGATCTTGTCTTGATCTCTTACACCTGGAGATTTTTCTCATGTCTTTATGAGGTTTACACTTTGGTGCCCACACACAGGCTGGTACTTTGTTGGCAGTTAACTTGCACAGCTTGAATGTTTTGTCACGCTTTGTGACATTTTGGTCCTCTATGTGTGTATCTATTGATGCTTGCATTTTGATGTGGCTGCAGTATTTAAATGGCTGCCGTCCTACAAATGTTTAAGGTGGTGTGTTTGATATTGGTTCTATTTTTATTTCAAATCAATCCATGCGATTTTTCATCCACAGATATTTTAAGAATGAGATAAGGGATGTTTTCACAGAAGAAGATTTTGAACTATACAAGTGAGTGATGTGGAAATGTTTGAATCATTTCATTTGACTAAATCTATTAATGGAAATCATTCAGTTCTTAAATATTGGAGTCCAACATTGGTCCATTTCATTTTATTGTATTTAAAAAATAATGTTTTATTTAATTGTATTTTTTATATTAATATTTGTGTGCTTTTTTTTTCTTTTTAGTTTTGTCATTGTCACTTTAACTGTATACCTGCAGAGAGACGTTTTTGATCATTGCATTGTGACTCATGTAGGTTTTAAACTGTTAGCATGTGTCAAGTTAAAAATAGTTTGCCCACCAACTAGTTGTTTAGAAAATCTGTGGTTTTTGTAATGCCTAATATGGATATGGATGGATAAAAGTACCACTAGCCGATGGCAACTATATAAAGAATTTCCATGTGCTCCGTTTTAAAACCAGGGATGTTCGTGGCCGAATTCAAAAGGTGATAGCCGAGACGTTTGGTCTGGACTCCAAACAGATGTATCTGACCAAGCCCACCTTCTTCTCTTGCATCAACAGCACCTCTGCCAAAACCACTCATGATGAGTACTGGCACCCACATATCGATAAGGTAACCGGCACATCCAAGAAAACATGTAACGTCTAGCTTTTAAATCATATGCTTGGAATGTGAAAGAACTCCTAATGTTTACTCAATGACCAGTGTTCTGAAACTGCCAATTGGTATCTCAGAACATGGACCAAAAATATCTCCATGCGCAAGGGCTCAGATGTTTTGAAGTAGTTTTTATAGGCCATGTTATTACAAAGTTGACATTTATAAATAAATAATGTTTCACATCAAATTAGTTCAGTGACTTGAAATAAAGCAGAACTTTAAAGATTTGCTTCCCTAGACAAGTATCAATAGCACACACAAATAGATTTGAATATGAATAATGGAACTACATTAATATTATATTCATGATGTAACCACCTGTCAGCTAATTATTGCAGATATGGAATTAATTGGAACTCAACCCTAATTACTGGCGTATGGGAGATCCCCACAGCCTTGTGCTGCTCGGCTTCATGAACCATTTTTGTAATAGTTGAATTTGATTTTAAAGTGGCAAATATATGTCGTGTTTATACAGACTATTAATGCTGCACAGATGTATTCTATACATGAATCACAATCACAGGGAACAATGAATCACACACTGTAATGTTCATTTATTGATTTGCAGTGAAACATGCTGATTGATGAGACATTTATGCTTTCTAAAAGACTGATTCGAAACGTTTACAAAAAGTATTTCAGAATCGAACTGGCAACATATTTAAGTATTTAAGAGCTGGCTTAATTGCTCAATATAACATAATTTCAGCTTTCAGCTATATAGTTATCGGGATTCAATTGCTTTAAGGCATTTAAGCCCATGTGTAGAAAGGTATTATGTTTTAAGCCTTTAACCACCGTCCTAGATCATAGATTGTTGAGACTATTTACAGCCAATATTGGAAATTTACTTTGGATTTTTTTTTTATCAGGTCTCCCCCCCCATATTTCACCTATTTTTGTGAATGTTCTATGTAAATCAGACACGAAAAAGACGATTTTAAACAATATCATGTGATTTGCCATAGAAATATAGCATTGTATACCCTTTTAACAGTTATAGTGTCACCTAAAAGCTTGCATGCCCCTTTAGAGTCATAAGTTGCATATGCTCGCCTAATTTCGTGAATTTTTTGCGTTTCGGTTTGATAGACTTTTTGGTACACTTGGCCACGCCCATATTATAAATTACTCTTTTATAGCTGTCCAAATGCTAAAGTTCACATTTTTTAAAATTATTTTTGACCTAGAGTTCAGAGAGTTATACTGTGCTTTTATAGAGGTTGAGAGAAAAACCTAGGACCTTGAGCCATGAGGCAAACAAGTCATTATGTAATAGTTGCTCAAACTTCTTTGGCAAGACAGTGGCCTTGTATTTAGAGATGTGTGAATATCATCATAGACCATCACAGCACCTTGGACAAAGACGCCACATGCCAGTTTTCAAATCATTCAGAATGACTGTTGCATAGCTATAGCTGTTTTTGTGTTTTATTTCCAAAAAAAAAAAAAAAATCACCATGTTGCCAGTCGCTGGAAGTGCTCAGCAATATATGCACCCAAAACAATGTTTAGTAAAGCATGTTTAGGACCTGAATTCTTTATTTGGCCAGACTTGAAAAATCGCAACAACATTGCCTTAAAAAGATGTGCTTTTATTTTTAATCGGTCTAATGTTCCTACATAACTTTATAGCTGTTGAAATTAGGTCTTGAGGGGATTTAAAAACAAGTCTAAGTTAATTTATCTCTGGTCTTTAGAAGTACCTTTGATCTCTGAGTTGGTTGTGCGTTTATGAATGTGGCCATTAGGGTAATTTTAATCAAAGTGATCATTTCAACTTTGCAGGCAAGGTTTATGCGCTTGGCTGTAACACAGGAATAAACTGCTTACATTGAAGATAAAGTGCTTTTGTGTTTTGGATTTCTTCATGTTGGATGAGATGCAAAAATATAAACAGATTGAGAAGGTTGTAGCTTGTGGCTGCTCCTATTGGTTTGTTTTTGAAATGTAATTGTCCACATTGCGTCATCATCTGTCATTTGCTTATACAATTTTACAATTCACTTGAATCGACTCGTGTTTAGTCAGAAATGCATTACACCAAAGTGATAATGTGCTGGTAGGGTTTATCCATATGGGTTGTGGGATGATATTTTGGCATTGGTAGAATAATAAAAGCAAATAAGCGTCTCAAATGCTGAATGTACTCCCTCTGCGGTAGGTGTGTGGAATATTCCTCATTAATCAGTCTCTGAAAAAACACTGGAAACAACGTGCCGTTGCCGGAATATTGCCAGCCTTAAATCCTAGATTAGATTAAAGTAGTTAAAAGTGTGGCCCGACATGCAGAGAAGTGACGCCTGTGTGGTTTGGGATCACTAAATAGATTTCCCTCATAAAGCAGAGCAGAGTTTAAAGTCCCAGGGATGCTATTAAATTATACCACTGTTTTTCGTTAAGCCAGGAAATCTTCGGTTTTACTAGTTTTTTTTTAAATGTATTTTTTTTTTTAATTAAATTAATACATTTTTCAATCAACAGAGATTAACTAAAAAACCCTTTACATATCATGTCATGATCCATTTGGTTCTCCCCACCCAACTAAGATTATTAAAACATCTTAATTATTGCTTTAGGCTCATGCTGAGATTTTTTTTTACAGAAATGTTAATGGGGTTTAAAATGTGGATTTTTTTTTTTATTATTGTTATTTTTTAACAGGAGACTTATGGATCTTTTGACTACACATCTTTGCTCTACTTGTCCGATTATGGTTTGGAGTTTGGTGGTGGACGGTTTGTCTTCATGGACCCGAATAGCAACAGAACTGTGGAGCCACGGGCCGGTAAATGCACACAATATCACACACATCATCGGGATTTGTATAAAAGCATGAAAGTAATGCAATGTGGTCAAGCAAGATAAGGATTCAATTAGAATTCTATTAGAATTTATTTGATTGCCATGCGCGAGGGAGAGAGTGCACGCGCGGCCGGGGTGGAACTGGGTCGTAACACCAGGTGTGCAAAAGAGACAGGCGCCTATTTGGGACTCTGCTATTTGAAGTTTTATGATATTTAGGAAACCACTGTTATGCATTATTTCCACATCTGCAATTTTCTTAGCAATGTTAAAATGCACATCAACCGATCACTTGTTTAGCGTTCATGTAAACAATTCAGATTCACCAATCGGAATGAATTCAGTTAGATTGAAAAAAAAGCTGCCCATGTAAACAGTGAAATGGCGACTGCAGAAAGCAAAAGCTGAATCCCGGACATCGACGGCCGGACATATTGAAAATATGCGGAACAGCCCATACTACTGAATGTAGTCTTTAAACCTCTCGCCAAAAAATCCTGCGATGGCACAAAATGACAATTTTTGCATCATCGGATAATTTTTTTCCAGACAAAAAATACATAAATCTCTCGTCTCAGGGGGATATGAGGGTGGAAAGCATGGTAATTTAAAAATGCTAGAGGTTTTCTACTAATGGTTTCCCTTTAAGCCCAAGCCCAAACCTGTGAATTACAGTGTACGATAATATAAATGAAACAAATTTAATATATGTATGAAAATGCTTAAAGCTAAACTCTACCTTGTTGGATTCAAACAACCTCTTACCAGACAATGTGTTACGTCTGCTTAAATTAAGATCAGTCACGCTCTGCCTGGTAACTCTGCCTAATGTGGCATATAATGTGCAATGTAGAATGATAGTTTTGCATAACATGGTAAGTTTCCATTCTATTGGGAAGGGGAAATTGCAAATTAACCATTGTGTCTTTCTACAGGAAGTACACTTATAGCTATGTACTAAAACAAGTTGATAACCTGTCGTGAAGATACACTGCTGGTAGTGTGTATAAACTTTGAGGTTATTAAATTGGCATTACTGAGGTTCTTTCACACACTGGAGTCCATTTACTGAATCATTTAAGTGGTTCTGCAGTTGCACTGAAGTGCGAAAGGATTGGCAACAGTTATCACTTTTTGGATGCCACCATGAATTACAGTAATATGGAATTTTGCTAAGGCTCTCTCCTCTATTGCAATGATTTCAGCCACACTCCAAAACCAATTTGACTTGTTTTACATATCTTTTGCATTGACTAATTGTTTTGTTTTCTCAGCCTGGCATTTTGATGTCCCATGATGACGCCATCCATGAATAGCTGCCTGATTATTTGGTCTGCACGGAGAAGCTTTTATTTTGGCTCGTGCCTGTGAATTAATTTACCTTTCAGCTCTTTATTAGAATCTGTCACTTTTGAGTGGATAATGTTTGCTATTTTCCAAGGTGCACTCTGTGGCATCATACAATGATGATAGAAACTGTCAGGTTCCTCCTTTTAAAATCTGTCCCCACATATCCCCACTGGGCCAGTGAGAGGTGTTTTGCCATTCAGCCTGACATTTGATCATGGAGTGCTCTCTGAACCCATTAAAGCTTGATGCCAGGTGTTAGAAGATGGCAGGTGACTGCAGATAAGATATATGCTTTTGTGCGTACATGTACAGGTGTTGAACAAAATAGTGTGAACAGCCAAAGGGTTCATGTAATTTAGTCTACAGGGAGGGGGAGACTAAATTACATGATATCAGATTGTGCGTTTTGGAGTGAAGCACGTGACCTACGTTTCTTGTCACCGAAGTCTCTATAACCGCCTGAAACTTTGGGGGTCTGTGAGTGAATCGGAATCGAAAACTCGCTTTATTGTGTTTATAACCAGGGTGGCTAGGGTTTGACACACGTTTTGGGATGGGCCGCCTAACACGGGGACCTGATACCCTTATATTGTGATTTATAATATAATCACAGTATAAGGGATCCACCGGGCCGAAGAGGCCTGACCTGGAATCCGGGGCGTCGAGGAACACCATTCTATCCGCCTCCTTGATGTCCGTGAGCATGAGCCACAGGTGGTGTTTGAGCACGATATGTATGATCACCATACTACTCCTGATGGCTTGCGCCATAGCTTTGGTAGCCCGCAAAGCAAGGTCCGTGGCACTCCTCAGGTCCTGGAAGGACTTGGGCCAGTCTTGTCCATAGATTGTAGAAGCTTGGCCTGGTAGACCTGCAACACCGCCATCGTGTCCAGGGCCGAAGCAGCTTGGCCGGAGGCGGCGAAAGCGCGTCCAGCGAGAGCTGAAGTGCATCTGCATGGCTTCACAGGATGCACCGCCTTAGTTCTCTAACTAGCCGCAGTGCTTGGGCAGAGATGAGCAGCCACGGCCTCCTCTAGGTGCGACAATGACTCATAGCCCTTCTCCGCTGCGCTGTCCATGGAGGAGACAGAGGATCCTGTACCTGCACGCTGGTCTCCCTCGAACAGAACCGGGGATGGAGTTGCTGGCTGGTGTGGGCTCGTTTATCTCCATCACCTCCGGTTGACGCTGGCTGCGGCGCTTCTTTTTCCCAGGCCGCAGGACGGCGGGGAAAGGAAGAGCAGTGGAAGCGGCGTCACAAGCGGCATCTTGGGAGAGAGTGAGCTGCGACGGGCATGCCCGCACAGACCGAAAAAAGCAAACAAAGGATATGTTGCCGGATAGAAACAGCAGAGAGGCGACAGGTGAAGACTGCTTCTGGAACAAAGGCGAAATCCGCCGACAGATGCACACTCTCTGTATAGCTGGATTTGACGGCAAAGCATTTTTCAGAGGACAGAGAGACGTGAAGTATGTCACTGAAGGAGATGAAATCGGCTATAATGGGTATTTCAGGGGCCTTTATGGGCTAAGGCCATGCCACTTATGGCTCTGACGTGTATGACTGAATGGAGATAGGAGAAGGCTTCACTCAATGATTGCTCTTAAATTTTTAAGAGTGCTGGCTTGATGATAAAAATATATAAGCAGGAAAGAGGCCGCACTAAGCATAAACTTTTTATTTTGCAAATGCAATTATATCTGACGTGTATGACGAAATGATAGCTCATTGGCACACACACTGGAACCACCCGCGCCATTGGATGTGCAGTTGCCGCAGCACAGCCAATGAGTGTGCCAGACTCTTACTGTGCAAGCTGTGCAGCTGCAAAATGAGTTTTACTTTTTTAAACTTCAGAATTCGAGGAAAATGAGTTTCCCCCCTACGTATAGCTACTCAATTCGAAGTAGACGTTATCGAAAGGGACCCGGAAACTACAGCAGAATTACACTGAGTTCAAACTCGACACGTGCCACAGCATCTCCACAGCAGCACGGGTCCATTATAAACCTGACGCTGACAGACCATGGACGGCAAATTCAACATATTTTTGTCATGTATTATATAACGTTTACTTAAAAATGTGTGATCATTTGTTTCCGAGCAGATAAGTTAGTCTAATACAAGAAGTATCAACAGTCTTAGATTTTTCATGTTCTTTGTGAGAAATACAACAGAAACAAATGATTAAACACAATACTGACCTGTTAAATGAATATGAATATAGCTCAGATAATTGGATTATTGGAGAATTAGGTGAGTAATGCACACAGTTTGAGACGTTAAGATCTCCAATCACGTTTTAGAGAAACATTAAAGAGATCTAATTTGTTTCGTGTTTATTTCCTGTAGAACAGTACTGGTGCTGACATAAATATGTGTGCGTATTTATGTGAGTGATCAGATATTATTTTGTTTACATTTTATATATTTAGTTGGTGGTACAACATGTATCTCTCAAAGCTTGACAAACAGGAAATTAAGGTAGACCGGGCTGAAGATTTGGACTTACATTATAATCTCTTGGATATCTAACGTGTGTGCAAGTTTGAACAGCAAACAACATTAGCTTATTTACTTAAAGTACAGTAAGTATGGCATTTTATCTCTGTCTCTTTCTCTCTTTTTCATTTTTTTTTATTTCATATCATAGAGAACTTGGCCAACATCCATGAAATGCCACAATTGCTAAAACTTTAATCACAGATTCAATGCTAATATTTGAAAAATATGGTGCCATTAATAATCATAAAATCTGGACAGCTGGAGCACCAAGATGAACTTCAACATCTGCTGTGGTCAGTTTAATCACCTGACTTGAATATCATTCAATTCTCCCTCCAATATCTCTGCAGCAACTGGCAGATGCTCTGAAGGATGACATTTCACTGAAAACTATACAAAAAGTAGCATTAATCTATTCTAAGTGGATTTGTAAGCTGTGTTATAGGCAATTTGTGGTGAAACACAGTAATAAATAGAAACTGCCTGTTTCCCAGGTGTTGACATTATTAAGATATATACACTCACCTAAAGGATTATTAGGAATGCCATACTAATACTGTGTTCGACCCCCTTTAACCTTCAGAACTGCCTTAATTTTACGTGTGGCATTGATTCAACAAGGTGCTGAAAGCATTCTTTAGAAATGTTGGCCCATATTGTTGATAGGATAGTACAGTGAACTCATTGTTATGTTCAAGAAACCAATTTGAAATTATTCGAGCTTTGTGACATGGTGCATTATCCTGCTGGAATAGCCATCAGGGGATGGGTACATGGTGGGCATAAAGGGATGGGCATGGTCAGAAACAATGCTCAGATAGGCCGTGGCATTTAAATGATGCCCAATTGGCACTAAGGGGCCTAAAGTGTGGCAAGAAAACATCCCCCACACCATTACACCACCACCACCAGCCTGCACAGTGGTAACAAGGCATGATGGATCCATGTTCTCATTCTGTTTACCATCTGAATGTCTCAACAGAAATCGAGACTCGTCAGACCAGGCAACATTTTTCCAGTCTTCAACTGTCCAATTTTGGTGAGCCCTTGCAAATTGTAGCTTCTTTTTCCTATTTGTAGTGGAGATGAGTGGTATCCGGTGGGGTCTTCTGCTGTTGTAGCCCATCCGCCTCAAGGTTGTACGTGTTGTGGCTTCACAAATGCTTTGCTGCATACCTCGGTTGTAACAAGTGGTTATTTGTCAAAGTTGCTCTTCTATCAGCTTGAATCAGTCGGCCCATTCTCTTCTGACCTTTAGCATTAACAAGGCATTTTTGCCCACAGGACTGCCGCATACTGGATGTTTTTCCCGTTTCAAACCATTCCTTGTAAACCCTAGAAATGGTTCTGCGAGAAAATCTCAGTAACTGAGCAGATTGTGAAATACTCAGACTTGTAGTTCAAGACATTGTCTTCCTAAATGCACTGAAGCAAATTATATATATATATATATATATATATAGTGTCACTGATCTGATGTTCTAGGCTTAAAATACCCATTTTAATGCATTATTCATCAGACCTCAGTGTTTTTAGCTCTGGATTTCTCCCTCCCGCCGTGCCCCATCTCCAGCAAGGGTGATGATTTTTGAATGCCTGCCACCAGTTTTAAATTAATTGAGATACAGTGTCGTGGATGTAGCAGGTGGAACATGTTCCTGTTCAGTGGGTGGCAGGAGCAGTGTGCTCTGTTGGTGCATTGATTTTCCATCAGGTGTGGCTGATGAGCCCTGATCTTCACTACGGTAATTATTACTCTGTATAACTGTCGAACATGCAGGCTGTAATTATAACTAGACTGACAATCAACCTCCCTCTTCCATGATGGATGTGAGTAGAGATATTGGCCTGTTGAGATACACAGTGCTTAATATGATGGAGGATGACAGAGGTGAGATGAGAAAGGGGGGTGCTGATACAGGCATAAGAAGAGTGTGGAAAATGACGTCATATTTTAAGATGAGATTGCATGGGGCAAAAAGCACTTTATTTTTGACGCACTAGGAAAATTGACGCCTGGCGCTGGATGAATCCTGTGGGATCACAGCTGCATCTCCTGATTTGAGGCACAGAGGAGCAACGTGCTCTTGGCCTAGCAAGTTCAGTTAGAACCAGCTGAGGAGTTTAAAGAAGGCAACAGGTGCATGTTCAATGTCAGGTGGAAAAACAAACCTGACAATTTTTTTTGGTGTTTTATATCTGTGGTGGCAGACGAAAGGAAATGGGTGCAGTTTCAGATGTGACACTGTTTTGATGTGCAAATATAGTGACGCTTTTTTAAAAGCAGAAGACCTTGAAGTGGTGAGGTACTGTCATGTTTTGACCTTATAGTATGCATTTATTTTTTTATCGATTTCTCTTATATCGATTTCTTTGCATTTTACCTACTAATAACATCAGTATGTTCTTTTAAGGCTAGTCGGTTCACTGGGCGACCAAAACTGTTTTTCATGATTAAGCTTCAAAAACATTTTAATGTTTTTTGCAACATACAGACACATCAATTTCTACATTGTATTGAGATAAAATGTTTCTTAAAATAAACTCCTCTCCATGGAAACACAATCAAATCATATCATTAGAAACTCGGAAATAATTGCCATGTTATTGTTTCCCTGTGAACCAAGTTAAATGACAACATGCTGACCAACCATGAGCTCTTCTCTGAGCTTTTCATGCTTAATTTGTTGATTTGTTAAATTTCTATATGGTGTTTTTAGCCAGTTTCTCTCTTGCTTGATATCATTCCTCTTCTAATTTCCATGCAAACACTGTAATCTGGATTTAAAATTTTCTAGCCTAATACTCCAGATGTCCCTGGGCATCTTGCAGATTTTATGGCATTATACATTTTCCTTCAGAAACGTTTCATTTTCTTAAACGTGTAGCATCATTGTAACATTTTAATGAGATTCAATGTAGCTTTCACAATCAAAAATGGTCGACGAGGGTCAGAATGAAGCAGACACAACGGAGGTAATTTGCATAAATATCCTGTTTAGCAAATGTCTCCTTGTGCATCTTCAGTTGAAGTATACATAATTAGACTTGGCTAATTAGCATGGAGGCAGCATGCGGTTTTTAATAATATCCGTCCAGCTACAACCTGCATGGATTACTGTAAAATCTAACATTTTAGGGAGGAATGTTTTTATTGAAAGGGTCTAGTTTAAAATACTCATTTCCTCTTGCTGTAAATCTCAATAATAGCACCATAAGAAAATAATTTATGATCAATTAATTGAAATTTGTTCACTTAATAATTGAGAATCAATAATGAGGTGATGTAGACAAACTATTGATTTATAAAACAATTTTCCCATTTTGACAGAACTGATTTAAAACAATCAATGCAAGTATTCTTACATTTACAATCTCAAGAATTTTTAGAGGTGACATAAATACAGTTTGATACTCTAAAAATAATCAAATGTTGCTGTGTTAATTTACTAAAAAAGAACCAGCCCGCGGCTCATAAGACTAAATCGTCTCATCTGTATCAGTGTTCTACGCAAAAAAAAAAGTTTCAGTCTCTAAAGGAGACAATGTTCTGTTTTGGGACCCATTTTATTTTCTTTGTAATATCTCTTTAACATTCCCAATGCTAGGTATCAATTTTGTTTATGATACTGCCATTTATTTTTGTGCTTTACAAGCACTTCAATACTTACAATCAGTGTTTGATATTGTACAGATACGCCTGTCAACTTAAACTGGTTTTAAATATAAAACCAAATGAATGATATTTTCAAATTCCAAAGCTCTACCAAGGAATTTTTTTGATATTATATCATCCTAGTCCTAGGGAACAAAAATAGAATGTGTTGCAAGTTCTAAGTGCTTGAGTTTTCTTTTTGATAGATGAGTAATCTTTCATTTATATTTTAAGCTTCATATTGATTAAATCATTTCTAAACTTAAGCTTAATTTTTTTTATTTCAGAAACATAACTTTTTCTTTCACTGCAAGGAAATGTTTGGGGTTTGCAACGTTTTTACCACTATTGGACTTTAATCTGCTTCAAATGAATGCTCAGTACACTATCTAAAAACACTTCTGGATATTGTTTTTCCACAGTGTTTTATCAAACTCTTCACTGCATTTTATATGATAAGTCTGAGTTACCATCTCTGTATCCTCAAGGTTTTAAAGGGTTAGTTCACCCAAAAATGAAAATTATGTCAGTATGTACTCACCCTCATGTTGTTCCAAACCTCTATGTGTTTATTTGTTCTGCTGAACACAAAGGAAGATATTTGGAAGAATGTTTTAATCAAACAGATCTCATTCCCATTGACTACCATAATTGGCATTATTTCATGTATAGGTAACTCCTTATTTGTCTTTAAGCTTATTTAATACAAATGCATGCTATAATCTTAATTCAAATGACATGTTTTACCTCAAAGTTCCTCAGGTCTGAACTGATCTTCAAAAATAAGATTTTTAATCTGATGTTTCTGTTGCTTGGAATAATTTACAAAACAACCTAAAGCTGACCATGCTTCCGTCACTGAAAGAGTTTGTTACTTTTATTAGATTTGTGTTTTATCCCCTGTAAAAATTCAGGACTGAACATGTTGAATAGTGCTTTACAAAGTCATACTTTTACCCTCCTAAATCATGCTTGTTTTTATTAACCATTCTCCACTTTGGCATATATTGCGTTTTCCTTCCATCCTTTTCCATTACAGAATTCCAATTGCATCGCCTAATACTTCCAAATTACTCGGGCTTTCTTTCCGATTGCAGGATCTATGCATTATGGATATTCCTCCAGCAGTGCGGTTCAACATACAGCATTTATTCATAGAATTTTACACATGCATTTCCACTTCAAATTTGTTTTTTTTGTTTTTCAAAAAAACAAGGTCTACAAAGGCCAGTCCAGGTAGACATAATGAAGGTAATTTACATAAAAATCAACTTTAGCAAAGGCCTCCTGTCTTCTTCTTAAAAATGTAGTCTTAAAATGAATTTAACAATCCAACCAAGCAAAATTAGCATGTTTTAGTTAGTAATTATCCCAGCACCAACTGTGAGGCTTTGGAACCTTTTTCCATCAACACTCAGATTTATTGTATGCTGGTCAACATGAAATGCAACGATAATTGTCGAACACAAACATATAAATTCAGATACAACTTAAAACTACTTTTTAATCATAAGGGTGGAACATCTGTAGAAAATCCTTAGTTTGAACATCATGATTGACTTTAGCCTGATGTTAGCATTCTTCATGTGCAGTTTTTCCGCATATCACTTCAACCTTTTTTTTTCTTGTTTCTCTATGTCATCGTCCCTCTCCTTTCATCTCCTGCAGGTCGAGTATCTTTTTTCTCATCCGGTTCTGAGAACCTCCACCATGTGGAGAAGGTCGTTTGGGGCACACGATATGCCATTACGGTGTCTTTCACATGTGACCCCGATTATGCCATTGATGACCCCTCCCTGCCGTAGGATCCATCTGTCTCGAACGGACGAGTGACGGTAACCTTAGGGGAAACAAAGAAAAATGCTGAAACACTCTCTGGCACTTTCAACAGTCAGGTTCATGGCATAAAAAAACCCTTATTGTCCCATTAGAAAAATGTTTGGGATTTCCTGTGCTCAAATGGGTTTTGTCTCTGTTTTTAATTTAAGAGGAGTTTTCAGGAGATTTACTTGAACTGCTGTCATTTTAAAGACATATATCTTTGGAGTTTGGAAGGTGTTTCTTTACAATTGAACTCTCTCTTTCCTGGCTGTTTTTCACTCTTTAAAATCTTTTATATTATTATAGTTAAATCACTGTCTAGACAGACAACACAAATGGGATGATTGAACAGGTGTATGTAATGAAAACAAAGGGTTGGGAACCTGATTGTCAGATATCTCTGCTTATGTCACCAACTGAAAAAAAATTCTTTGCAGAATTGCTTTCTAAAACTGCATATGCTTCTAATGAAATATGAACTTATCGGATAACTAAAAGAACATTTTATTCCTTCACATATGTCTTTCTACTTGAATGAATTTTTTAAGAGAACTTTTTTTGATATCTTTGATACACGAGTGTGTTGTAATATTCAAGGAGAGAAAGTTGACCTTATATGTCTCGCTTTTTTTTTTTTTTTGAATGTCTCTAACTTTCCAGTGCCAAGTATGGAATTTTGTATTGTGTATCTGGTGAGCTTTTGGAAACATTCCTTCCTTCAAGTGTGTTAGATATAATTACACTGACATCATGTGGTAAAAGTCAAGTGCAGCCAATCACAACACACTTGTGTTGAGCTAATTGGCTTCTCTGTTTACTGGCCCAATTAAAATGGATGGTTATTACTTCATGTAAAGCATAGGTAACTATTAAAATTGTCTCAAAAGTATGTTTTTCAGACCTTATGCTATGAATCTGTCAACCTGTGGTGAATTTTAATGAATAAAAAAGGACAACGTAGCATGTTAAGCTAGAATTTTAGACGCATTCTGAATCCGCTTGTGCATTTAATGCCCATTATTCAAACGCACACATCAGCTTTATTATAATAGAAAAAGCAGTCTCTTTAGGCTCCTTGTTTTTCCAAGTCTGCTCAAATATGACGATTCATGAATTTTGGCCGATGCTTTATTTGCTTTTCCTGTTTCATCATTAATAGTTTAATTGGAAATCTCTCTTGGTTAGTAATGTCCCTTTTCCAGTTGCTAATTCATTCATGCTTTAGCTACTCTGTAAGGCTGAATATTAACAAGTGTTCAAAGACTCTTCATAAAATGGTCGTTTTAGGTTTATGCAAAACAAGTCAGTTTTACCAACAGCAATCACAGTCTTGTGTCTCAGGGCACGATCCCCTCAGTGACTAGGCTGAACCACTGATTTATTGTCACTGTATACAATAGATTGAAATACAATCCGTCCATATCTTGTTGCGTTGCATGTTTATCTATGATGAGCTGCATTTATATGAGATGATGAGGTTGAACATGTCGAATGTGCTTCATGCGTGTAAATGTGCTTGTTTGATTTGAAATATGGGGAGGATGTACTGCGTTTTTAAAATAAGTCTCTTATGTGCATCAAGGCTGCATTTATTCAACTAATGGTTTTAAATTATGGTGGATGCTGCACATTAGTGGTGGTTGAGGAGAGACCCCCCTCTATGTCAAGCGCTTTGAGTGTCCAGAAAGGCGCTATATAAATGCAATGAATTATTATTATTATTATTAAATAATGGTAATATTGTAAAATGCTATTACAAATTGTTTTCTATTTGAATATATTTTAAAATTAAATTTATTCTTGTGAAGGCAAATCTGAGTTTACTGCATCATTACTACCATCTTCATATGCTGATTTGTTGCTCAAGAAACATTTCTTATTAATAATGTTTTGAGAAAACAGTCATATGTCTTTTTCAGTACTGAATTAAAAGAGCAGTAATGCATCCTTTCTGAAAAAAAACTATTATTTTCATAAATATTACTGACACAACTTTTGATGCTGGTATAAATCACAGCTGATTTGCATGGCTTTTGGAAGCAAGGGTTTGCCAGTAGGAGTTACGGTTTTGAAGAACAGATGTTACTAATTAAATAATGCAACGAAACAAATGGAGGACCCATTGGAGCTTGTAGTTCGACCACAAGAAAGTCTGGATAGAGGGCTACAGTAACACAAGCTTCCCTCTGGCGATACAACATTCCTCACTGTTTACACTTAAGTCATGCAATTTCCTATGACTACCCACTTGAAGAGCCCAACAATAACACGCAAGGCGAGATAGTGATTTATTAAATTTTTTTGTAGAGACTGATAAATACAAAAGGAAATGTGAAACGTTTGACTGGTGCCTTCAATCTTTGGTTGTGCAATTTATAAAGGGGGCTTTCTTTAAAATGAGTGTTTTCTCTAAAGTGTCATTAAGTAAAGTGATATGCTCTCTCTTGACATCAGACTCAGTTCTTCCACTCTTGAGCTAATCTTTCCATGATAAACCATGTTTGGTGTGTTTTGCCAGCATGAGGCTTGGCACTTTGAGCTGCTCAAGAAATTCTATAACTTTGTACATGTATGACCCTGGTCTGAGCGTCATCGTACTCTTGAGTTTGATGACAGCATCAGGCCCCAGTTGTGTGGCTTCTGTTCTTTTGTCTCCAGAGAAATGGAGGCTGTGAGAATCAATTTTATCCTTCCACATCCTTGGATCTGCCAGATATAGATGGTGTGAGTGAATATATCCCCACTTTACACAATTGAAATACCTTTGAGTCCTTCCTGACATTGAGAACCAAAATAGAACAATGCAGGAGTGTGTTCTTTTAGCCATCCAAATGGATTATCTACTGACTTGCTGTTGTTAATCTTGATATTATTGATTACGACTAAGACCACAGATCATCAGCATGACCTTTTGTGGTATTTTTCTTCTTCTGATGTTCCTGGCAAGTTTACATGGTTTCTATTTTATGCTAAGAATATTGAGTGTAAAGTGTCACTATAACCACCTGATATACACTTTTCTATATCAGTGTTTCCCATAAATATGCCAGACTCATTGACTGAATGCATTATGCTCAGAGTTCAAATATATGAATATGCATAGGCCAGTTTAGCTCTAAGCGGCAAATGCCACCATATTGTGAGGTGGGAAAGCAATTTAGCCCAGATTGTCTGTTGAGTCATTTCTTAGTGTCCAAGCACAGAATGGACAACTGAAGAGAGTGTGTATATGTGTGTGGGTATGCATGTATGTATATGTACACTCACCTAAAGGATTATTAGGAACACCATACTAATAATGTGTTCACCCTTTCACCTTCAGAACTGCCTTAATTCTACGTGGCATTGATTCATTAAGGTGCTGAAAGCATTCTTTATAAACGATGGCCCATATTGATTGATAGGATTGCCTCTTGCAGTTGATGGAGATTTGTGGGATGCACATCCAGGGCACGAAGCTCCCGTTCCACCACATCCCAAAGATGCTCTATTGGGTTGAGATCTGGTGACTGTGGGGGCCATTTTAGTACAGTGAACTCATTGTTCAAGAAACCAATTTTAAATGATTCGAGCTTTGTGACATGGTGCATTATTCTGCTGGAAGTAGCCATCAGAGGATGGGTACATGCTGGTCATAAAGGGATGCAGGCATGTATTGAGAACCTGCCCTTTTTATTCCTGGAGAGAAAGTGCCTTTTATTCTGGGGTGTTTTTTTATTTTTGAAAAATATTATATATTACTGTTTGCGCACAGCTTCCCTGTCAAACAAATATATTGATTGAATAGTGTATCTAAATATCATGTCAGGAGTTCTGAAGCGCTCCCTCTCTGAAGCACCGATCAGAGTTGGGCCGTGTTTCCACCAAAGGGTTTTTCCACGCGCCTGCCGTATGTTTTCAATTGTTTCTGCAGGGGGTTGCACACTTGTTTTACAGTTAGTGCACTTACAGTATACTTAAGAAAGTACTGGATAATATAAGGAAACTACATGGGTTAAGGTTAGGTTTAGCTATAGGTTCAGGGTTAGTAGTTATTACCCAGTTATTTTAATTACTATAATAATATACATGGGGGAAAAGGATGGTAAAATAAAGTGATATCCAACAGGGGTATCTCTTAGGCCTTGAAATCAAGACAGTCCTGCTTGGATGTCACTTTTCTGAACATGTTTCCATGAAGTATTCAAAGGATGTGGCATTAGTGCACTGGATAAAATAAGGTTCGAGCTAAAGTGGAAAATATGAATGAGTTGGTTGTTTTGTGAATGGACGGGGATCAATTCTCAGCATTTCTCTGTAAACATTGTTCATCGTTCAAATAAGGTTATATGGCCTTGACAGGTATTTAGTGGATATTAATGTAATGTGGAACAGTAATATGTGTGATTGTAATTTTTCTCTTTTTTTCAGTTAGAAAAAAATAGAAAAGCTTTGGAGTTTGCTTGTTGAAATGCCTAGCTGAAGAATCGTGCTTACCTTTACACGAACGGGTCGGGTTAGGCTTTCCAATCTCTTCACTGCATCACCTTTAACTGCGCCATGACAAGCGTCTCAGAGTTGAAGTCAAACTGATTACTGGATGACGCAGACTTTCCCCAAGAGTACAAGCTCGGTGGGCGCTTTTTAAATGATGACGTGTAGCGGTAAAAACTCTTGTGTCGGTTTTTAAGATACTCTCGATAATTTTTGGTCAGGAGCGTGTACAAAAACGGATTGATGCAGCTGTTGCTGTAGGTCAGACTCGCCACGAGGTAATTGATGCTCGTGTGCGTGTGTGAGGCTAAACTGAAGGGCTTGTGGTACAGGGGGACAAGCTGCCATATCCAGAAGGGCAGAAAACACGCCAGAACACGAGCACTATCGTGAAAATCATTATCAAAACTTTCTGTTTTGGCGAGCGCTTGCTGCTTTTATTTACAGCCGACGTCTTTTGAGACTCCAGGTACGTCTTGGCTAGCCTGGTGTACAAATAACCAATTACAAGCCCTGGCGCCATTATGCTCGTACAGAACAGGATAGTCAAGTACAATTTATACGCCTGGGGTGCCCAGGTGGGTGCGCACATTCTTTTCACCCCTCCATCTGCGGTTGTTTTAGTAGTCTGGTTAACCATGACCATCATGGAAGAGTTAGGACGAGGGATAAAATCCAAACTCCCCACGCCATGGCTTTTCGATAGCTTTTGGAGCGTTTCACGGTATCCAATGGTTTAGTCACTGCCAGGTATCGCTCCATACACATCACTGTCAGAGTAAAGATGCTCGCGTGCATAGTTACCAGGTCCAGACTTAGCAGTATCTTGCATCCCACATCTCCAAAATACCAGTCCTTCAGAAAGTACGTGCACACGACAAAAGGAATCGTGGAGAGGTAAAGAAGATCCGCGAGCGCCAGGTTGATGATGGAGATGTACATGGAAGTGGCGAAGCGTATGGAATGACACATAACTACCAGGGTGTAGACGTTTCCCGAAACTCCAACGATGTAAACCACTGACAGCAGCGTCCCGAAAGTCGATGTTATCACAAGCTCGTCCACCGAACCGGAGTTGCTACGGGACGGACCGCTGACACTGCCAGACTTGTTGTAATTCATTGCGCTCGCGGTGAATGCGGAGCTCTACGCGGGAACTTTATGTCAGGTGCGCAAGACCCCACACACACTGTTTGGATATTTGACAGATGTGTCTGAGCGCACTCGTCGGTGTCCGCAGCTCCTGACGTCAAATCGTCGCTCCGCACTTTTGGCCACTAAATGTTCTCAAAGAATGTTTAGAGACAGCGTGCATTTATTTAGCCTACAGTTTTTGGTTGTATTTTACTAATATATTTCAGGAAACAATCATCTGGTAAAAATAAATGAATAAATAAAGAATATAACGCAGAAATGTCACAGAAATAAAAATGCAAAAAGCCCTATTGTCCGATGTTACGCACCCAACGTTATAATTTCAAGTTTTGTTTAATGAC